AGTTATCTACCCTCTTAAGTAGAAAGTTAATGGCCTTTATATCCAGAGGACTGGAGTACAAGGATGCAGAAGTTTTGCTGCATTTATACAAATCCACAGTTCTTTCGGTTTTTTTCTCAAGTTTACAAAGTTTGGCAGAAACGGAGTATTCTGTTTTTGCCCGACGATCCTTTGCCACAACTGGAAATTATATAGAATTCATTGGTCTGCTTGGTTTAATGAACAGAAATGTCTTGATTTTTAAAAAAAGAACTCTTTATGCTTTTCAGCATCGTTATTTCATTCTTTATATTCAACCAACAAGGATCCACAAAAGAAAGTTTGATTCTGCTGGTGTGGAGATTGAACCAAATTTCAGTGAAACTAAAAAGGTCAACACTGGCTATTTGATGTCTTCCTTCAGTGAGTATGTGAAGCCAAATTTGAGTAGCCGTGAGCATATTGAAAGTTGAAATAGATTTGGTAGGGTGAATAGCCTACTTTGTATAACAGGCTCAAGGGTTGAATGGTTCCTGTTCCTAGATTTGGGAAGATGAATGGCATCCTATTTGTGTATAATTCTTTCAAGTAGCTGAATGGTCTCTACTGGTCCTGTATAACAGCCAAAAGGGGCTGAACAGCTTCCTCTTGTTCATGTATGTAAGTAAGGAGGATGTGGAGATTGAAATTTTCTGGAAATTAGTGTTGATAATGTTACCAGTTTTGGTGTGGGGCAGTGGGAGATCCCATTTTCTTTCTGTAGAGAACACAAATAATTACAGATATTCAAGGTCATTCCACCTATTATAAGTGATCTATACAGGCACGTCAGTTTTGGGTAAGTATTGAACATTTGAGTTTCTTCCTGTTTAGAGTTAGTCTGTGTCAAAGAAAAATGACTGAAAACAGAAGTGGTAAAACCCTAATGAGCGAAAATTGCTGCGAGAATAGCGTCATCAAAAAGCAGGTGAAAATTGTCAAGCACCTAGTGCCATGGGCTCACAGGCCTGCTCCCTAACCTTGTGTTTTCGTGTTTTACATCATGCAGTAGAGGTGGAAGCAGCAGGACAGACAGACAAGATATCGGTTGAAGATCTGAAGCGATTAATTAATAAACCAGAGCTTATTAAAATCTCAGAGAAACACACCCCCAAACAGAGCTTGGCATTCTGGATCTCGGAGGGAGAGATGGAAGACATTGAGCTGGAGGTTGAAGATGGTTTACGACTGAAAACCTTGGGGGACAGTCCTTTTATTTGTAAGTTTGAATGTTACATCCTGGAATAATTGATTTTTACTGAGATTCGCTGTTTTTGCAGCTGTAACTTCTTACAAAACGAGAAGCAAGAGTTTCCATCAAGTCTGAATCCCCAAATCTTTCATTGCTGATGGTTGATCATAACAGTTGGAAAATGAGAAACAAAGCAATCTGTGCACAGTGGGATTCCACTCACCCAGCCCCTCAATCTGACACATCCACTTTGTCTCTCCTCCCCAAGCATGTGTACACACACTCTATCTCAATAGAATCTAGTGCCTTGAAGTTGAATCAAGGCAATTACAAGTACAGAATACTGGCTAAAGTGATCTGGAAAAATGGTTTAAAAGATAGGACAGTGCCATATATTTTTGAGATTTTTCATACCTCACTAAAAATATACTCCTCCAACAGTCCACCGGGAAGGATGCAGCATTGGTATGGAACTGAGATCTGGACAGATTTAGAAATCAGCAAAGGAGGAATTAGACAGAAAGCATTCCAAAAATATAACTAAAACTATAAGCTGCTTTAATTATTTAAAAATGAAAAGTGTAACCAAAGTGAGCCCTTTAAAGGGCAAGATTGGGGAATCAATAATGGCTAATAGGGGAATATTGGAACAGTCTTGAATAAGTTTTATTTTATTCATTCACAAGCTAGGCCAGCATTTATTTCCCATCCTTAGTTGCTAAGGGTCACTTAAGAGTCAACCACAGTGCGTTTGCTGATCAGACTGGGTAATGATATTGCCATTAGTGAACCACGGGGCTTTGTAATGATAATTGACAATAGTTAAATGTCTGCCATTAGGCTAGCTGTTTATATTGTTATTGCACACATCTCACCATCTGACATAGTGGGATTTGTACCCATGCCCACAAGGACGTTAGATTATCCGCCCTGTGACCATACACTACACTAGTACCTCCCCTGGGAGATTGCAGGTATAATAGAATAGGTGTAAAAAAAAAACAAAAATTGTCAAGTGGATATTAACCAGTCTATATCCTTTATAGACTGTTAAGTGTGCAATATTTTTACAGATGGACTAAAATGTGGAAAATTGTGAACTTGTCCATTTATCACTAAGATCGGAAAAGGAGCATTATTTTAAATAGTGAGAGATTGCAGAACTCTGAAGCCCAGTGGAACCTTTGAGCTGGGACATGTACTATTAAAAGTTACTATGCAGATGCATTTAAGTGATTAAGAAGGCAAGGTTTGATCAGGAATATTCAGCATAGCTTTGTCAGAGGAACGTTGTGCCTAACAAATTTGATAGAATTTTTCCAAGTGTCAGATGAGTGTCTTGTAGTTGATGTAGTTTGTATGGATTTCAGCAAAGGTATTACAAGGTTCCAAGTGGGCAACTGACTTTTTAAAAAAAAAAAGTAAAAGCACATGGAATCCAGGGTAACTTGGCAAGTTGGATCCAAATTTGGTTTAGTGATAGGAGAGAGAGGGTAGTGACAGAAGGCTGTTTGTGTGACTCGAGGCAGGTGTCCAGTGGCCTACCACAGGGATCAGTGCTGGGCCCCTTATTGTTCATGATCTATATAAACAGAAGATGGGAAAGTGGGATGAGGTGTTGAAAATGATAAGTTTTTACTGGAGCGTAGGTGGTTGAGGGGTGACCTTGTAGAGATTTATAGAATCATGAGAGACATAGAAAAGGTTAACAGGAAGGATTTTTGCCTAGGATGAGGGTGTTCAAAAATAGGGGGCATATTTTCAAGGTGACAGGAGAAAGTTCTAATGGGGCAATTTTTTTACACTGGTTCATATGTGGAATGAAGTGTCAGAGGAAGTGGTGGATGCGGGTACAGTTATAATATTTGAAAGACGTTTGGATAAATACGTGAATAGGAAAGGTTGGAGGGATATGGTTCAAAGACTGGCAAGTGGGACTAGTTTAATGTGGGGAAAATGGTTGGCATGGACTAGTTGGACCGAAGGGTCTGTTTCCATGCTGTATGGCTCTATTATGCGAAGTTTGACTGGCTGACAGTGAGGAAAGAAGCCTTGGATTGCAGGTAGACATGAACCGATTGGGCAGATCAGTGTAAATGAAATTTAACTTTGAAAAGTAAGATGTGATATTTGGAAGAAAGGAGTAATCAATGAATGGCAGGACATGAGGAAGCTCAGAGGATCATGGGATCTTGGGTTGCTTGTTCATAGATTCCTAAAGGCAGCAGGACAGGTTAATAGGATGGTTAAGAGGGCATACGGGACACTTTACCATTTGGCCTTGGTATAGATTATAAGAGTAGGGAGGTTTTTTTGGAGCTGTACCCAATTTTGATGAGACCACAGCTGGAGTATACTGTGCATGTCTGGACACGACTCTATAAGGATAGGATTTCATTGGAGGGAGTGTAGAGCAGATTCACCAGTATAAAAGAACAAAACTGTGAATGCTCAATCTGAAATAAAACAGGAATTGTTGGTCTGGAGCATCAATGGAGAGAAAGCAGCGTCAACATTTCGGGTCCAGTAACCCTTCTTCAGAACTGATTGTAGCTAGAATAAGATTGGTATATATGCTGAGAGAGGATGTGGGAGGAGGGAAAGGAGGAAATAGAGCCCAGGGCGAGAGAAAAGCGTTGGGCAGAGAAAGGAATGGATAATGGGGAATTGAGGAGAAAGAAAAGCTGCTGATGGAGACCTTTAGTGGGTGACAATGAGTTGGTTGTCGTGAAAACAGCCCATTGGTGGTCTTAATGTACAACACCTCATATTCTGCCTCAGGAGCCTACAGCCCAATGGCCTTATCGTAGAATTCACCAATTTTAAAATCTCCCCACCCCCGGCCTCATTCCCATGTCCAAACATCCGTTTCATCCCCACCTCCTTGACCTGACACAACCCGTCCACATTAGAACATAGAACAGTACAGGCCCTTCGGCCCACAATGTTGTGCCAACCTATTATCCTACTCTGAGATCAAACTACCCTGCATACCCTACATTATACTATCATGTTGTGGTTGGTTGGCTTGCTGAGCTGGTTCGTTGTTCCGCAGACGTTTCATTACCCTGCTGGGTAACATCATCAGTGTAGCCTCCGATGAAGCGCCGTTGTGTTTTCCCACCTGGTTTTTAAACTCTGGTGTACATTGAGCTGGATTACCTCACTTCTGGTTTTCCTTCACAGTGGAGTGTATATAGGGTCTAGCTCTGTGTGTTATGGGGGTCTAGCTCTTTGTGTTTGTTGAAAGTTTTACTTAGTGAATCATTTATTGTCACGTGTATTCAATATAACACAGTGAAAAGTTTATACTGTCACCATGAATCGGCACCTTTCTCATTTAACTTAAAATAAAAATAAAGAAAGATAACTTAAAGACAGTCCAACTTTTCCTTCTCCGCTGCCACTTTCCCGCTGCAGGCTACACCAGCCCACGCCACAATGCCACGAGAGCCCTGCTCTGGGATTCAAAGGACAATAATATCCATGGTCTAATGCATCCAATGATGTGATGTTTGTTTGGAGTTTCCAATCTGCAATTCCCCTATGAATACCCTTCCAAACTAATTTATGAACTGGCACACTCTAAACATTATATACCTGAAATAGCAGAAGTTTACTATATTATCGTGATCTACTGCAATGTCTGAGTAGTCAGTTGAGCATGAGTGAGAAGGCTGTCAGTTGGTACTTTTGTTTAATGCAAAGTTCCATTATTATTGAAGGGATTTATATTGTAAGTGAAGTATAACAGTGTTGTGTATACCCCCTGTCTTTTCACATTAATTATGCAGACCTCTTGATCAACCTGCACACTCCTGGTCCCATAGGTACTGTTAATAAAATGTTTGCTGTATTAGAATTCTTTCTCTTGAGCCTCTAGGTTTTTTTTTTCCCCCCTTTTCACAGAGAAGGTGGGTGGGGAAAGGGAGTGTTTTTTTTTTTATTTCCAGTTCTGGATATATCTGGCTGCACTGCCGTCAAGTCTGTACCATACAATGACTTGACCAATCTGAGGGATGTTATCAGGCAGCATTTCCTTAATTCAAAATCTCCCGGTATTGCTCTGTTTCAATAATGTAATGATCTCACTACTGCAAAAGCAACATTGCCATGTATAGCTTGAGATCTGCACCATTTGATTTTACAAGTTGCAAAATTCTGGTATTTTAGCTCGATAGTACTGTCTGATTTCTATTCTAGTTTACAATCTAAACAGGAAAATGTATGGCCCCTTACACTATCGACTGAGTCATGATGGACTGTAGCAAGTATACAACTTTAGTCAAGATTTCACAGTAATTAAGTCTTGTACCCTCCAACTGGGTCACTCAGTGTGAAGTTAAGTGAACAACCTATCCATAAGCCAAGCTTGACAGTCTCTGACAGGTTTAAAAATATCACTAGCCTTTACTGTAAGAATGCAATTTTTTTTAGTTTCACTGGCCAAAATGGATGCTGGAACTGTGACTAAATGCAACTTCGCAGGAGGTGAACAGGTTGGAGCTTCTTGGACTGACAATGTATTTGCTGCAAAGCACAAAACTGAGCAAGAGGCCAAAGTTAGCACCCAAGGAGAAGGTGCTGATGAGGACGAATGGGTAAGACCTGGATGGAATGTTCCCTTCACTTACTCCTTATTGGCAGATTTATCTGATCTTTAGAGATGATTCACTCGAGTCGTATTGTTCAGGTACTGATCGTCCAGTGTCTACAAAATGGCAAATGCATTAAATCAGCATGAACATCTGACAGATTAAATATTAAATTACATCCAGGAGTTAATTATGATTAATAACCATTTTTACAAAAATAAGGAAAGAAGTTGGCCTCAGGATACAGCTTAACCGTCATGTTACAAATTGTTTGTGACAGTTTGTAAAAATGTGTTTGAATGCACTTGTAAGTAATCTTTTAAAATTCAGATTGATTATAAATATGACTTATAATTGTTTGGAAATTTGAGGGTGAATGTCACTCCAGCAGTGGTGCAGAACAGAACAGGCTGTGATATGCAGGATTTACTATTTAGTGGATAAAATTAGATGCGCGGTGCTATGGATAACAGGCAGCTGATCTGATACTGGGTGTCACTAACCATGAGCAATTTCTCATCTGAATCTATTTTGTGATCAGTGGAAGTGTTTTAGAATCCAAATCATGGGTAGATTCTCTGATCAGAGACATATTTCTGATTCTTAGCTTTTATGTCTTTCCCCTTTGTGCAGTCCCTAAAAGGAGTTATAAGCCTGATTTTTTTTTTTAGCTGAACTAACCCTGTGTTTCCAGTATTTTCTATTTCCTTTTTTTTTTTGATGAATGATCTGCTCGTTTAATATTTTCATTTTAATTTTTTTCCCTCCAGGATGATTGACACTCCAGAAAGTCATCAAAACCAACAAATGGCAGTAATTCTGGAGATTATTGAACAGGATCAGAGATCAAGCTGTTTTTCATTCAGCTCTTAAGTTTTGTTCCAAATTTTAAAATTTATTGACAGTAAAACCTAAACATAAATTTATCTAGCAACCACCCCAACACCCACAAATGGAGCTGCATCAGGACACTATTTGAATGAACCACAGCACATTGCAGCAACCTGGAACTACGCAAAGCAGATATCACCTAGACGATGTCTTCAAAAGGAATGGATACCTGAAAAGCACAGTTCACCGTTACCTCCGAGACAGACCACAACATGACCAGACTCACTAATCACCTTCCCATACATCAAGGACATTGAAGAGGTGACCACAAGACTACTCAGACCCCTAGGTATCAGAGTAGCCCACAAACCAACAACCACCCCGCAACAGCTACTGACGAACGTAAAGGATCCCATACCCAAAACCAGCAAAATCGGTGTAATATACAAAATACCATACCAGAAATAATACCATCCATCCCAGCAAACAGAGGCATATAACTAACAAGTGGGACAGAACACCAACACTTCACTGAGGCGCGCTGACGATGTTACCCAGCAGGGTGACGAAACGTTTGCAATCAAACCCACCAGCTCAGCGAGTCAACAACCTCATCCACAACCTGAGCTACAAATCTTCTCTAACTTTAAGCTTCAATATCTTTGATGTTTTGTTCAGCATCGCAAAGTTAACCAGAGGATTGTGAGGAATAATTATGATATTATATCTGCAAAGGCCTTGGTTTACTTCTCGTTTAAAATAATCCTTGAAGTAATTTTATTCAGACCAAAGTTTCCTTGTGATTCCCTTGTGTTCCAAACCAGCCGTGGTCCTGAGTAGTTGTCAAACAAGGTACTTTATTCAGGTTGGATGGCTGGATCCCCACAGTGTGTTCAGAGCCAGCTGCTGAAGGAAGAATCCAAAGCCAGTCTTTACTTGGACTAGATTACTGAGTGAACCATTACAGCTACATGTCCTGTGACTCCACGCTAATCCTGTATCAGTAATTGTCTGTTTTCTATGCTTGAATAACCATCCAACATACCCTCCATCTGTATCATTATCTGTGGTTCATGCAATGAATATAGAGCAAGGATCAAAATGGTTGGAGGTCCAACAATTATTGATGCCTCTAAAGAAAAGGTTGTTACATTTATAGTCTCTGCAGCAATCCTGATCCTCACTTTGCAATTCTCTCCCTGAGCATCTCACATTATTCCTCTCTGACAACATTCAATTATGTTATTAAAAGCTTCCTGTAAACCTACCCTGAATGTTCAGACTGTAATTTACCTCCTGATTCTTCTCCCAAATCTTGTGTTATTCCTTTCCTTTTCCTTTGGCCCCAAAAGTATTTTATTGTGAAGTGTAAGTTGGCAATATGTTATGAACTGATTAGGGGATTGATATACTTGTCACTAAACCTTGTCAATGTGCTGTATCATACGGAGATGATTTGACATTCTGCTTACAATTGACCAGCCAGTCTGTTCATGAATGTTTTGAAGGAGTCAACCAAGGGTTACACCTGTATATTTCTAGTACTTGAAGTATGAGAATGGACTGTATGTATTCTTTGAGAGTAGAGACAAGATAACCAAGATAAAATTACAAAATAAACTTGTTAGGAAAACAAAATGCTGAAGTACTTTCCAGCTGATGATGTATTGAAGTCAGAAGTGTCTTTACCTCATGAAGGAGCAGCGCTCTGAAAGCGTGTGATTTCAAATAAACCTGTTGGACTATAACCTGGTTTTGTGTAATTTCTGACTTTGTCAACACCAATCCAACACCAGCACCTCCACCCAATGATGTATTGGGCTGAGAGTCAATTTATATTAACAAAAACCTTCGATTTTGACTGGTCAAATTTTGAACATCAGGTGGACATCTTTTCCTGGCTACTTCCTTTTAAATACTTGTATTTGAAACATGCTTTAAATGGCTAATTCTGACTAGGTTTAGTTCCAGCATATTATCACTTTGTATAAACTGTGGTCAATGATTACCAGAGGGATTGAGGTATGAAGTTAAGATTACTGATAAATGTAACAAAATAATTTCTCCAGGCTTCATTGCTGAGATGCTTTACCTGTTTCCAAATGCAACTTAGCAGAACTTGTTAACAGTTAAAATTTCCTGAAGATCATGAGGTCCGAACAGAATAGTTTGGGGGAAACTTCTCCTGTTGGCACAAGCAGTGTATGACAAAAGAAGCAACAGATAAATGTTTTCATGGAGAGTGGTTAGGCTCTGGAATGCACTGCCTGAATAGTAAGATATCTTGAGATTTCCTATCTTGAGAGAGGAAAATGAAGTATGGGGTTTTTGTTTCGGAGGGGAGTAGTTGAACTCATCTGATAATTAAAACCAAAACAACCAGAGAAGCTTGTCTCATCTTGTAATTTGCCTCTCACTTCCAAATCTGTTATAAAGGAGTGGTTAAATGAAAGAAACCCCTGATACTCACTTTATAAGTAACAAGTAACAATTTATTTATCGAACAGTGAACAAACCAACAGACCTACTAACAAGCCAAACAATTCCCCTCTTCCTATGAGCTATTCCCAAACAGAACAACATTCTAATGAAGAGATAACAAGGTGCAGAGCTGGATGAACACAGCAGGCCAAGCAGCATCAGAGGAGCAGGAAGGCTGATGTTTCGGGCCTAGTCCCTTCTTCAGAAACCCATTTTCTGAAGAAGGGTCTAGGACCGAAACGTCAGCCTTCCTGCTCCTCTGATGCTGCTTGGCCTGCTGTGTTCATCCAGCTCTGCACTTTGTTATCTCAGATTCTCCAGCATCTGCAGTTCCTGCTATTTCTGAAACATTCTAATGAAATGCTGTTTCAATAAATACAAGTCCCACTTATAAACTAAACTAATAAAAAATAAATTAAAACTTAGTCTCTTGAAATTACAGCCAGGGTGCACCTTCTGGAATATTCTATGCTTTTGCTGTTTTCCAGTCCGGCACACCTTTCTCCGTCAAAATCTTGTGTCAGGAATATTAGCTAAGAGATCAGTAGTACCTTTATCTATGTGGTGTTTATTCCGAGAGCCAGTAATTTTCTTTAGAGCTGATAGCTGTTCAGAGCTGTTCTTTTAACAGATGGCAGTTTGTTTTCAAACAGATTTTAAAGTAACCTCTTCTCTTATACCCTTGATGACCTATCAATTTCTTACAATAGGATTGTTCTGAGGTTGTCAAAACCATCAGATTTAAATTTAATTGGTTTTCATTCTCTTAAGTGCCTGGTTTAAGTTAATTGGCTGATATTCAAACTGGTTGCTTTCATAACAAAAGAAGACTACTGTATAGGTTGCCAATCACACAACCTTTTGATACAAATGTTTCAGTTTAGAGAACTCCCTGTGCCCCTGCTGCTGTTTGCAGACATTTTTAAAAAATCTGCAAGCCTAGAAAAACACTCATCTTTTAAAAGGACCACACACTTTTGCCTCTCACCCCCAATCTACAAACAAATTCTAATGTTCTGCCTTCCAATCCATAAGTACTCTACCCAACTTTGCAACATCACCCCCTTTAAAAAAAATGAACCATCATGATGAAAGATGACCACTTTTTTCTCTCTCAATCTTAATGCCATTATTACTAGGTAGGTCATTAATCTACAGTTACTCATTCCATACTAATCCTATATACATATATATATATATAAAACATTGAACATGACTGTTTCTATCTTATATACACATTTTCCTATTAAATTTGCAATAATGCATCTGCAATAGCATGTTCACAACCCACAACATGTACAGTCTGTAAATTAAATGCTTGTAACATAAGACTTCAATGAAATAGTCTGGTGTTCTTGTCTTTAAATCTTTCCAATAATGTCAAAGGGTTGTGATCAGTGTACACAACAGTCTCTGATGCATTGTTTGCAACATAAACATTAAAATGTTTTAAGGCCAGTACCAAACTCAATAATTCTTTTTCAATGGTTGAATATTTTCTCCAGTAGATATTGAGTTTCTTCGAAAATTAACTGGTTGCCCTTTCAAAATTTCACAATCATCCTCCCATAACAACTCCAACCACTACATCGCCTCGTTGATGGTGACTTTGAAGGGTTTCAAGAAATTGGGCATGGGTAAAACAGGTGCAGTGGTTAACACTGCTTTTAAGTTCTCAAATGCATCCTGGCATTGTTCTGTCCACAGAAATTTTGTATTTTTCTTTGACAAATACATCAGCAGTGCCACCACTCCAATAAAGGTTGGTACCAATTTCCTGTAGAAGTTGCTAATGTCCCAAAAATCGTAGCACTTCCTCCTTCGAGGTTGGTCTTGGAAACTCCTCAATGGCCTTTATCTTCACGTTTCTTGGTGTCATCTACCTGTGCACAATGTTGTGTCCTAAGAACATCACTTCCACCTTCGCAAATTCTCTCTTTGCCAAGTTTATAACCACTCTGCCTTCCATAGTCTCTCAAAGAGCTCTGCCAAATGCAACATGTGATCTGTCCACGAATTGCTAAAGATCACTAAGTCATCTATATAGAAGGTACAATTAGTCAATCTGTACTAACCTGCCGAGGTCCGCATTTCCACCTTAGGTTTCTATTCTTAAATTAACAACATTCTGGAATACATTCATTCCTTTTCCAAGTAGGCCTTATGATATAATTATTTTATTTTCTCATCTTTTTGTTGTAGCTCCATTAGTCTTTCAGAACTAAACACCTCTGTCTGATCCTCCATCTGCTTAGGTTTTTCCATTATTATTTTGCCAAACAGGGTGTTAGTTAACTGGACACCAACTCCTTCATCTTTGTCTTTGGTTTTCCCTTCTTGTTTCAACTTATGACTGTGGGATCTTGTCCCCACATAGTCCAGAAAAATTCCAGGGTATTTCTCTTTTAACTCTTCAGTTCCTTGGTTTTCTTTTGGTTTCTTCACTACAATGGGCATCACTTCCACCTTCAATCCGGCTAGGTCATTTCCAAGAACAAACTATATTTCTGGAATAGACGCTCTTTTAATTACTACCACAGTCACTTCCCCAGTCTTAAATGGACTTTCAAGCCTTATCTTACACAGGGGAATGCTAAATCTCTCTCTATTTATTCCACAGATTTTCACACTCTTGGGTAACATTTCAGAAGGAGTGCAAATACTTTCATCTCTTACTATTAGAGGCTGACCAGCTCCCGTATCTCTCAATATTTTAACTTCTCTACCTTCTTCTCTGTTCTTCCTAAGTAAACCTTACCCACACAAGCGAAGACTTTAAAGAGATCGGGCACTGTCTTACTATCCAATCTGTGACTAGGCTGTGCACTCTCCTGCAGCTCCTCAACTCTTTTTGAGATTTCCTTCAGAATCTCAAATAATCCCACTAGTTTATTCCCTTTTACCACATCCTTTTCTGCAGTGTCCCTCTTAAACCACCAGCACTGTGACTCTGTGTGTCCTTCTCCATTACAGTGGAAACACCTGAGGCCTTTCGCCTTGCTTTCACCCGCTTGGGTTCCTTTTTTCACATGTGGTAAACTGTTCCTGGTGTGATCTACTTTTTGTTTATCATTGAAGGATCTCCTTCTTTCCCAACTTCTATCCCTCACTGAATGAAATTGCTGTCAGAAGCTAGATTTCAATTTATGCACTAATGCGTATTCATCCGCCATCTCCACAGCTCTTGCTGTTTTAACCTTATGTTCCTCGACATGAGTTCTTACCACTTCTGAAAGTGAGTTTTTAAACTCCTCTAGCAGAATAATCTAAGATCCCCATATGTAATTTCTATCTTTAATGCTCTCACCCATCTATTGAAGTTGCTCTGTTTAATTTTTTCAAACTTGACATAAATCTGACCTGGTTCCTTCCTGGTGTTCCTGAACCATTGTCTGTATGTTTCTGGTACCAATTCGTAGGCACTCAAAATAGCCTGTTTCACTTAGAACATAGAACATAGAACATTACAGCGCAGTACAGGCCCTTCGGCCCTCGATGTTGCGCCAACCTGTGAAACCAATCTGAAGCCCATCTAACCTAAACTATTCCATTATCATCCATATGTTTATCCAATGACCATTTAAATGCCCTTAAAGTGGGCGAGTCTACTATTTTTGCAGGCAGGGCATTCCACGCCCTTACTACTCTCTGAGTAAAGAACCTACCTCTGACATCTGTCCTATATCTATCACCCCTCATTTTAAAGCCATGTCCCCTCGTGCTAGCCATCACCATCCGAGGAAAAAGGCTCTCGCTGTCCACCCTATCTAATCCTCTGATCATCTTGTATGTCTCTATTAAGTCACCTCTTAACCTTCTTCTCTCTAACGAAAACAGCCTCAAGTCCCTCAGCCTTTCCTCATAAGACCTTCCCTCCATACCAGGCAACATCCTGGTAAATCTCCTCTGCACCCTTTCCAATGCTTCCACATCCGTCCTATAATGCGGCGACCAGAACTGTACGCAATACTCCAAGTATGGCCGCACCAGAGCTTTGTACAACTGCAACATGATCTCATGGCTCCGAAACTCAATCCCTCTACCAATAAAACCTAACACACCATACACCTTCTTAACAACCCTATCAACCTGGGTGGCAACTTTCAGGGATCTATGCACATGGACACCCAGATCTCTCTGCTCATCCACACTATCAAGAATCTTACCATTAGCCCAGTACTCTGTATTCCTGTTACTCCTTCCAAAGTGAATCATCTCACACTTTTCCACATTAAACTCCATTTGCCACCTCTCAGCCCAGCTCTGC